CGCCTTGGCTTGCATGGCTGTAACGTGGCGCTGCCTGGATATGCACATGCGCATGTCCGAGTTCGCGCTGGACTTGCTCGGCTAGGCTTCGTAACGAGGACTCTTGGTCGTGTTGAAACGTTACTTTAGCATACCCCAAACGCTGAATCCATGACACTATCGCTTTGATCACGTAAGAGTTTGGGCCTTTCTCAGGCACGAACAGCATCAGAGGCCATCCGGAGGAAGTGTCAGTGGCCGTGAGGACTGTGGCTGCACGGCTTTCTTCTTCTACTAGTTGGCCCTCGCGGCTGAAAAATTGATAATCGAACTGCAAGACTGGCACCTCAGCATCTGCGTTCTTGACTTGCCGATTGTGTCCAGACTCGGCCGCCTTGCCAGTAATGCAATGGCGGCACCATGGTGCGAAATCAGCATGGGTGAGGTTGTGCAATGCTCGCTCGTCGTCTGTGGGCGCAGCGGGTGCAGGAAGATGACGTGGTTGAGGTGACTCCGGTTGGCCATCCAAGTCGACGTCGATGTCGACGCTGCCATCCTCCGGCGCCGATTCTTCGGCGGGAGCGGCAGACACATCATCTTCGTGGCGTTGTGCTGCAACGAACGCTGGCGGCGCAGCACCGCTTGTTCGATCCTCAAACGGCATGTAGAACCGGGACCCAAACCGGGGCGGGACGATGGTGTGGTCGTCTGGTGTTTGGATGTGCGCCGGCCTGCCGGAGGATGAACGGTAGAAGTGCATGTCGCAATCGGCGTCATCCAAGATGCGGCAGAAAGCCATCACCGGTTCGGTGATGTTTGTGGAGTCCAAACGAAACCTTGCAGGAATTTTGACGTCCACTCCGTCGGCTGTTGTTGCTGAGAGGGTGGTGTGAGCTGCAAGCTCGCCCTGCTGTTGTATTGGCGTTCCGTTGATGGCACACAGCTGCTTGCGTTTTGATGCGTCGAGTGCGGCATTGGGAAAATGGTTTGAACTAGCACAACTGGTGGTGGCGCCTGAGTCAACCAAAATGTACTTCTGTCCTCCGTCACCACGCATTGTGGAACAAACGGCTTCGGCAACCTCAGCCTCAGCGACTGCAACAGCATCGGCTGTTCTTCTTGTGAAATGGCGCCTTGGGTCGATTGGCCTCTGCGGCCGACGTTGGCAGACGACGTGGACGAAGCACTCACTGAGGATGCGCCGGTGAGCCGAAGTGCCGCAAGTTGCTGCTGCAAGGCTGCAATCGTGCTGGCCAGCTCGCCGTTGTCAGGAACTGTCCCTTCGACCGCATTCACGTTCGTCGAACTTGATGTCGACGTGCGTTTGCCCTTGCCGTCTCCTTTCGGAAAGCTGCGGGCATTGAAGTAACACGCTTCAGTGGTGTGGTTTTTTCCCTTCTCGGGACCACAAATTGCACACGGAGGTCCTTTTGTGGCGTTGGCATTGCCGGCATCGGCCTTGCCCTTATATCCTTACCTTTACCGTCACCTTTGCTGCTTGCACCCTTAGAACCTTTGCCAAGCTTGCCCTTTCTATCACCCTTACCACCTTTATCACCTTTTGGTTTTGACTTGTTGTCCGCTTCCACCGCTCCAATCTCCATGGGTGCTGGCCCAGAGTATGGAGCTGCGGGTGGCGCAGACTGTGTGCCGAAGGCAGTACCGGCACCACGCTTCCAAAGGTTCTTGGACTTCAGGTATTGCACAATGAACTCACGGAGCGTCTTATAGGTGGTAAGGTGAGCGGAATGCATCGCAATCTGAGGGGCAAGAGTCTTGGGGGCGACTTCGGAATACCACAGCACATCCAAGACCAGCATCGTTGCAGAGTCCAGGTGTGACTGACAGTCAGTGGCACCTCGGCAAATCCCGGCCGTGGCCGCCACCAACTCCACCGCCAGCAAGGCGACATCGGGATACCACAGCACATCCAAGACCAGCATCGGCTGTTAGTGTCCAGAACGACCGACAGTCAGTGGCACCTCGGCAAATCCCGGCCGTGGCCGCCACCAACTCCACCGCCAGCAAGGCGACATCGGGATACCACAGCACATCCAAGACCAGCATCGTTGCAGAGTCCAGGTGTGACTGACACTACCTCAAGCCTTTCGAAAGGCATCAACCCCCAAGGCAAAGGATCCAAAGGCAAGGTCACAGGTAAGCCCGGTAAGGGCCATCCGTCTGTCAAGAAGCGTGCTCGCAAGCGCGATCCCAACACCGGCAAGTGCATCCGATCGCAGAAGCGGTCCCACAAAGCCCAGCAAAAGCGTGACTTGCGGAAACGTCTGCACCAGGTCAAGCAGCAGACTCTGTCAGATTCAGCCGTCGTTGCAAATCGCAGCGAGCACTCCGACCAAGAAGCCGACGAAAGTGCAAGCTGTTCCCGCGAACCGTCGCTTGAGTGCACCGTGCATTGCACATCCTCGGACGAATCGTCCTCGAGCGTTTGAAGGAAAGGTTCTGGTTTCAAAGCCATTGAGCAGCATTCCCACAAACGGAGTGTCTCCGGCGAACGTGCTGTTGAGATACACCCTGAAAGGTTTGAGCCCTTGCAGTTTCGGTTACGGTAGGGGTTAGGTCATAATCGGCCCATTTCCCCGTGTTGTTTGCCTTGCCCAACCAAGCGGCACAATGGCGAACACTGAACAACAAATTCAATCACTAGCTAGTCAAGTGCAGCAGCTGACAGCACAGCTCACGTCACAGCAGCAGGAGCTGAACAACACGCGAACTGCACTAGAACAGCAGGCCCAGGCGACCAATGCCGCTCTAACAGTGGCGCAGTCGGCTGTGTCCCAGTTGACAGCCACGACGCAGTCAACAACGTCTGCGGAACCCAAACGCAGACCACTGAATCCCAAGTTGGTCAAAGCACCAGAATCGTTCACCGGCAGTGAGTCTGATTGGGAGCGATTCAAATTCGGTTTCACATCGTGGATCGGCACTGTTGATCCTGACTACCCCGACCTTCTCAAGTTTGCCGCTGCGCAAACAGACGAGATCAATCCGGCAGAGATGATTCCAGTTGCGAAAGTGTTGTGCACAGACCTGTTTGCCATTTTGGTAGGTTTGTGCCAGTCCGGCGAAATCCCAGCCATGGCGATGCTTGTACCGGATAGGAATGGGTTTGAACTATGGCGCCGCATGCATGCCCGTTTCGAGCCGGAAAACAAGCATAAACCTTATGCGTGGCTCCGGGCACTTTCCAACCCCGTCTTTCCGAACAAAGAATCGCAGTGGCAACGAGGCCTTGAGGAATGGGAAGGTGAAATTGCCAAATACGAACGTGAATACAAGAAAACATTTGATGCAGATCTGAAGCTCGCGATTCTGTCCGAAGTCGCCCCCAAGACTCTTGCCCCTCAGATTGCGATGCATTCCGCTCACCTTACCACCTATAAGACGCTCCGCTACCATGCGCGCGGGGCAAACGTTGGGACGTATTGGGCTCACTACTCGCTTTTTCCGTTGGCTAGGACCTGAAAGGCTACAACGGTCACATGCATGTGGTCATGTCTTTCATGACGTCTTCGTGGTACATGTACAACACTCAAGCATACTCAAGCTACAGCGTTTATACACGAGTACGCTTCGTAAACGCTCGCAGAAACCCTGCGCGCGGGACTCAAAATCCTGAGTTGACGTTGTGCCAGGAATGTGCTAGGAAGTGCGTGGCCATGGGGAAAGCGATGTGCAGCCATGCTGACTTCACACGCCCGGGTGTGACTTCACGCGTTCCCGCGTGGCCATGCGGTGGGGCGACTTCACGCGCCTGGGGGCGACATAACGCGCGAGGGTGCGGTTTGCAACCATGATCAAACAGAGCTCCTTGAAACCCAGCGTGTACATGCAGTGCTAGTTTCGAGGCTTGGATAGCTCCCACTAGAACGTGGCGTGCACTTGCAGTTTTCGTTAGTTTCAGTGCACGTTTGCTTCACTTTGCGCGAAGAGTCTCGTGCCACGCGCAGAATTGACATGTCGGGCGGTGCTCCTTCAAAACCAGCGTGTACTTGCAGATACCATTGTGTGAGTCGCCTTTTTGCGGATGCGTCGACTTCACGCGAATCTGGGCGTAAGCTTGGGGAGACGCGACTTCACACAACCTGCGTCGAATTAACCCCAGCACCTAGTACCATGGATTCGCGTGGTCGAGTGCACGAACGCGAGGTAAAGTTGCAAAATCTCGGCGGCAAGTGCAACCCTTACCATAGATTCGCGTGGTCGAATCCGCGAAAATGCATGAACGCCAAGTAAAGTTGCTACCTTTTTGGAACTTGTCCGGTTCCGGCGCAACCTTTCTCATGGATTCGTGTAGTCGAATGCACGAATGCGAAATAAAGTGCACGATTTAGGAGACACGAAGCAACCCTTACGATGGATTCGCGTGGTCAAAAAACGAAACACGACACATTTTGACCCAGGCGCCGCGCCACAGAGGCGCCACGCGGTTCCCGCGCAACCCTTTGCAGGAATTTGCGCGGGCTTATGAAGGAACCCTGGGACGTGTTCCTTCACAAGGGTAATTCGCGCAACCCTTCTAGGCGCCGCGCGCGACCTTTTGCGGGGATTCGAGTGCAGGAACGCGAGGTAAAGTTGCAACTTCTAGGCCCTTGCCGGAGATTGGCGTGGTCGAGGGTCGGAACGCGAGGTAAAGTTGCTACGTTTTAGGGTTCCCGCGCAACCTAGTACGTCTGTACGGAGCCATCGAGAGAAAGACATAGATCATAAACATAGATTCGCGATAAACATCGAAAGGTAGAGACAATAATAGAGTCGATCAAATACATGTAAGGTAGAGGAAATAGAGTCGAGTGCATTGGGCGACAAATGCAGAGTGAGATAGCGTGGAGATACACATAGAGACAACAGTCAAATACATCGAGTCAAGTGCATTGGGCGATAAACATAGACTGATGTTGAAACCCTATGACTCTTTGACTATGTGCCCGGCACGCACAACACCCTCGCTGAGCTTCGGGACCCCGAAAGGCGACCGCCCGTCGCCTACGGCCCACCGCCAGGAGGAGCACTGCGGCATGTGCCCGGAGAGCCATGCCCGTTGCCACAGCCAGCCTTCCTTGACTGCTTGAGCACGACCCGACGCGGCTCGGCCGCCGGGCGTTCCGGCGCCACCAATGAGCACCTCCGCATCCTGTTTGACGATGAAGAGGACGCCCAGCTTCTGCATGGCGCCAGCCTCCGGCTCGCCCGCGCTGAGCTTCCCTCCACCATCCTCGAATGCCTCCGCGTCGGACGCTTGGTCGCGCTGCGCAAACTCAACGGCAGGGTCCGCGCGCTCTCGTCGGTGATGCCTTCCGGCGACTTGTTGGCCGTTTGCTCGCCAAACACGTTGCGTCGCAGCTCCAGGAGGCGTGCATGCCGCATCATTATATACGGCCTCAACACCCGTACTGGCGTCAGTCGTATACTCCGCACTGCCACCGAAGCATGCCCGCGCGCCACCATCTTTGCTGTGGATGCCGTAGGCGCGTGCGACTATGTCGCACGCGGCGCGATGCTTGGAGCCCTGCACGCTCGCTCGGCAGTTCTACTCTTCCCCGAGCGTCTACACCTGGTGGGATGACGACGGACACGCGCATGATGTGAGCCAGGGAGAGGGCGGTGAGCAAGGGGACCCCCTCATGCCCGCCTTTTATGCCCTGGCACAGCACGACGCACTCTGCGACCTGCAGCATCGCCTCCGAGACGGTGAAGCCGTGTTCGCCTTCCTGCCTGAGCGGGGGGTCCGCACCCTCTACGATGCCCTCAGCGCTGCCCTGTGGAACGCGCGTGCATCCGCCTCCACGAGGGCAAAACTCGCATCTGGAATGCTGCCGGCGAGGAGCCGCCAGCAATCGCTGACCTCGGAGGCAAGCCAGTTTGGGTTGGTGACTGGTCCCTCCCCACCGGTAACCAGGGCCTCACCGTGCTGGGAACCCTCTCGGCCACCACGACTTCGTCGCCCATCAACTCCGGCGCGAGCGCCTCCTGCAGCGCATTCCTCACCTCGATGACTTGCAAGCTGCTTGGCTGCTCCTCCAATCTTGCGCCGCTCCCCGCGCCAATTACCTGCTGCGCATCCTGCCCCCGCGCCTGACAGAAGGCTATGCGGCCGACCATGACACGGCCGTTGCGCAGTGCCTCGCCAGCTTGCCTGAGCTATCCTGAGCTCGATGCCCCCTTGACCCCATCCAGTCTCCGGGCGTCCTGGCTCGACACCCTCCCGGTCATCCTTGCCCGCGTGCCGGCCGCAGCTGACCGCCTCCTCAAATCACCGCGCGGTGAAGGAGTCTTGCCTGCTGCCGCCGCTGCAGTCCTGGCGCGACAGCACCTCCGCGACTCCGCGGCTTTGATGCCCCGACTGGTCTGCCGGCAGCGCACCCCGTCCCGACCCGCCTGAAGCACCTGGTCACCGCTGGCCGTTCAAAGGCTGGCAGCGGCTTGCCGCCTATGCTTGTGACAAGCGCGCGTACGAGA